CTGAATTTATTTTTATTACCTTTTTTTTTTTTTTTTGAGAGAAAGAGAGAGTGTGTGCACTTGCCAATGGGGGTGGGGATGGGGGAGAGAGACAGATTCAGAGAGAGAGAGAGAGAGAGAGAGAGAATCTTAAGTAGGCTCCACACTGACTGAATGTGGAACCCGAGCTTGATGCCATGACCCTGGAATAGTGACCTGAGCCGAAATCAAGAGTCAGATGCTTAACTAACTGAGCCACTCAGGCGCATTGACTATTTTGATTTTAGAGAGGAGCTGGGAAAGGAAATAACATTTTTTAAAGCCCGACACCATACTAAGGAATTTACATATGTATGTTGTGGCATTTAGTCCTTACAGTGATTCTCTATACTAGGTACAATTGTCTCCAGTTTACAAATGAGGACTTGAGGCTCAAGGAGTTTAAATCCCCTGTCCCCAAACCATACAGACCCCAAGTGAGAGAGCTGGTAACCAAGCTGCAGAGCCCATAATCTGTACCGCTCTCCAAGTGCCCAGCTACTATGAGAGTCAAGTGCACAGACCCTCACCCTCTTGTGCTTAAGACTGACTATAATCTCTTACAGTTGAAGGGCTCTTTATACTATATAAAACACTTCCATATGCATGTCCCATTATCCCTTCCATAGTTCTTCACCCCACAGAAGCCCTTCTCTCTAGAAGAGTCAAGGGACTATGACGCTCATTTTACAGATGGAGCTGAGCCAGCATATTTTGCCCACATGGTCGAGCTCCTCTGGTAGCCTGTGACAGAGCAGGACTCAGGACCTCTGGGTTCTCTTCCATCTTCCAGGCTCCTTTTCATGTAACTGTCCCTTGCAAGCCCGGAACCAAGAAGGCAAAGTGAAAGAAATCAACGCTGACTTTGCCCTTCCCCCAGAGGAGATGGGGATGTAACCATTTCTGATCCCATCGGAGTTTGCTGAGTCCTTGGCAAACATTGTAATGCAAGCCCCTCTGTGATGGAGAGACCAATCTCAGTTGGCCCCTACCTTCCAGGAGCTAGCCATCAGATAAGGCCGATGAGATAAGTATCTATGCATCAAGATAGAATGGGATGGACTCAATAATAGGGTTCTACGTTTTCTCAAAAAGGTCATCTGGAAATCCATGACGCTTATTCCCATAGCTTCATGGAGCTGGTATTTCAAATGTTTAATTTCTACTTAAATTTTGCATTAATGACAGGGATGGAAATAGAAAGTCTTGGATCTTTCTAGCTCATACATTCTTTGATCCCCTTGGCCATTCTCTCTCCATCTTCTTGCCCTCTAATGGACAAGAAGGGAATTCTTATTGCTTCCCTGAACATTTCTTTTGTTTGGAGACTGTCTCACACTCCAGGACTTACATAAACTACATAAACTCTCATAATTTCCCACTTGTCATTTAAAATCTGAAGCCCTTCCAAAGCACACAGACTGCTCTCCCTCCTTCAGTGATAATGTGGTTTCCGGGATCACTCTAGTATGTGCTCGGCTTCAGCACTCAAGGGAGATAAAAGGGTAGTCCCAAATGGACTCAGGCAGTGCCTCTCCTGGAAGGAGGGAAGGGGCCACTCAGTTCAGGACAAGGAGAGCCTCATCCCCAGCCAGACCAGCTGCTCCCCACTTCTCTGAGCTCCAATCTTCTTGCTCCTCCAAGTTCACACTCATGGGAAGTTGTCAGAAACTGCCAGCTTGGTTTTAAGTCCCCATAGTGCATGCTCTCTGTCATCTCTGAAGCCCCTAGGTCTGTGAGAGCCTTGGCTGGCCCTCTGCTATGTCCTAAACAGACGAAGAGCTCCGAGTGGCTGAGGACCATGTGGTTCACCAACAGCACTGCTAGAACCTGGTCTGGGGAATTCATCTCCCTTTGAATAAAAAAAAGGAAACTATGGATTAGGTGGGCAAAGGTTTGGACTCCAAGCCAGTAAAGCCGAAGTTCAGTCACTCTAACTGAAGGGGAGCCAGATAGAGTAATTTTATAAGGAGGCAAACTCTATTCTCCAGTACAGCTGAAAACCTTGCCCCAATCCACAGTTGTGTCGGGATGTTATAAATATGTCAGAGATTGTACCTGGGTAACACGAGAATGATTTAGAATATCCCAGCCTAGCTAGTAAAACAAAACAAAACCATTCCTGTTTTAAGGATGAGAAAAAATAATGCCTTCATCATGATATCCTAGCCTATGTAGATCCCAAAAGGACAGGTCCCTCTGTTCATCCAAGGAGTGATAATAGGGTAGTGATCCAACTCTGCTGTGGGTCTTGGGGCCAAGAACATCTCTAACCTTTAGATCTCCCATTTACAACATGAAGATCTACCTCTTGGCTTGCCCTGATAATGGATGAAGTCGTATAAGAAAAGCAGTTAGAAAGGCTTCTGGTGCATAGTAAGAGTCCAATAAATATTATGCTCTTTCCTTCAGACAAATCCTTTAAACCAGCTCCAACCACCATGACTGGGGTATCCCTGAGACCTGATGAGGTTTGGGAGGAAAGCCTGGTTTTGAGAGGAAGGGATCTCTAATGATTTTCCAAGCCCAGGACCCTTTCAGCTTCTTGCAGAGAATGTATGCTTCAAGTTTAGCTTTGGACAAAGAAGATTTCCTGCTTCTGTGAGTGGGGATGCCCTTGCAATCCCATTATCTCCCCTGTGATTAGGTTGTGTGTTCCTTGCCAAGGTTACCCTGTCAGGTTTGCTCTTCTAGTTGTGCGTGCCTGATGCTCTCATCCCTGGCCTGAGGCTGCGCAAAGGGTAAAGGGTCCACATGCATGTCCTCTCCCCGGGTGGGCATTCACAGCCATCCAAGCCTGTCACACATGAGAGGAAGCCTGGAGCAGAAGATGGGACCCCCACTTGGGAAAACCTGGCATCTGCCTCTCTGTAAGCCAGATAAAATCACTTTTATCAATCCAGAGGAGAAATTGCACCCCTCCGCTCAGCCCGTGGGAAGACCCCTTCCTGTCTCACAGAAATTTTAGGGAGTTTGCTTGTCTAGAGATGAGAAGGGGAATCAGAACCAAGGAAAGTATTGCTAACTTAGGCTCTTAAAGCATGTGGCATTTTGTCAGTACACCCAAAGCCAGTGCACATGTTAGGTGGTAATTTCCCTGGGACACTGCAGCCAACACATCCCAAGTCTTTCACAGGAGACAGACTTCCCAGCCTTCTGACATCTGCTCCCATCTCATGGGAGTCTGTCTCATGGTGACCCATAGTATCTACTCTGGTGGTTCCCCCAGTCAGCATCTCCTGAGCATTTGGCTAAGAACCTACCCCAGAAGTTAATCGTTGGCCTGGTATGGAAGGTCTGGGGCAATTTACTGGAATCAAGAGAACCTTAAGCTGCCACCTGACACCATATTTGTCCCCTCCTTCCCTAACCCGCTCCCCTGACTCTTCCAAAGAACTGGAGAAACAGAATACCTTTGTCTCCACAAGGAAATAGAAAGGTTTCTGGCTGGGAAATTCCCCCCCGGAAAAGAAATAACCAAGATAAACAACTCTATTGCTTTTGGCTCAGGCTAGTGAAGGGAGTCTCAGGGAGTGAGAACAAGGGCAAAGGTGGCAAGGGGAGCCTGAGAGATCACTCTCTGGGCTCCTAACTGCTTAGAGCTTCCTTATCTTTATGGGTGCTCATTATTGCCCTGCATTTGTTGACATGGTTTTCTCCCTTAACGCTCTCATTGCCAAGCCACTCCAAAGGTTAAACCTATTAAAATCCATGGGAAAGTGGGGTTCCTCTGTCCACCTCTTTCCTCCTCTGGGCTACAATTTGGGTCCTAAGGCTGACCCCTGGGACCCTCAAACCGCACTCCCTGCCCCAACCCAATCTGCTACATTCACAGATGTGACAAGGCTTGCATGCACTGAACCCTCCAAGCGGCCTTATCTTGGATTCTCCAGCTTCATCTGCCCTGAACCACAAGGCAGGATAACAGAAGCCACAATACCTACATTTTTAACTCTGACCCCATGACCAAGTCTCTGGGAAATTTTGGGCCTATCGCTCAGCATCTCACGGTCTTGATTCTCTTATCCATAAAATGGTTGTAATCATATCCATTCTGTCTTAGTTACAGGGAAGTTATAAAGCTCCAGTGAAAACATAAATGACAATGCTGTGATACGCAATGGGGGCTCTACAAGTGACAGGAATGAGCACTAGGATAAGCCTACAGCTGTGTTTGGGGTGCGAAGCAGTACATCGGGAGAAGTGAAGAGCTTTGACTTTGGAGTCCTGCAAGGCTGGGTTCAAATTTTGCCCCATCCACTGCCCCAAGACTCTGCCCACCCTCACACTTAATTCCTTAAGAAAAGCATTTAACTTTAAGCTTTCATTTCTTCCTATGTAAAATGGGGAGAAGGACATCCATTTCAGAGGGAGATATTAAGTTTAAATGAGATAATACATGTACATTATTTAACACAGTGCTTGGAAAGAGATCATGGTAAGACACCATCATTGTTACACATACAACTATTATCCTTCCCAGGCCTCCTTTATGGGTCTCAGTTTACTTATATGAACACACCATAAAATATGCCAGGGATGTAGGGCGGGCAGCTAAAACAGAGAGATGGGGCCACTTGGTGGTAACCAATCATCCAGCAAGCTATTCCTGAGACCTTATGGATCTTGCCCAGGACCATGACTCCCAGACAGGGATATAGAAAAAAATGGCACCTGTGTCCCTATCCCAAAGAAACATGCAGCTTAGTTGAGATGACAAAAATCTACTTACAACTATTAAGGAACAAAAAATACTGTGAGGTAAGGGGACTTTGAGCTGTAATGGGGAAGGCGGAGCCATTCATTCTTGCAACAGGATTTATGTCAGTTACTGGAGCTACAAAACCGAACAGGTGTTTCGGGAACTTTAAGGCCCACTTAGTCTTGGAAGACACAAGAGCTTCATACTTTGTGCTATTGTCTTTCAGCTCCCCAGGAAAGAAGTTGGCCTGGGTGGCACAGCCCCGTGAAAGCCACCAGCGATGAGGCTCCTCTTCCTCACCTGCCTGCTAGCTGTCTTCCCAGGTGCGTCTGTCAGGCCCCTGCCCACCCCTCCAGGATCCAGTTCCCTGGGAGCAGTAAGCCCTATCCGCAGGGATGCCACTCTCAGAACCTGCACTCCTTCGAGGAGGAGTCCGACAGACGATACAGAAAGGTCACGTCTGGAAATAGATAGGTGACCAAATGATGGGGGTGGTCAGGGACAGGAATGGCAATTCCTCATTTCAAGGCCAGGAGTCTGGTGAAGGTCTTCACCGGGAGAAAAAAAAAAAAAAAAGATCTTGACCTTAACCCAGGCATCTCTAAGAGTTGCTATAACTTATCCTTCTTGGCTGTCAATATTTTTGCTGGGAAAAAAAGAAAGGATCTGCAAAGTGTTTTTAGAAACATAAGAAAATAATGGATAATAAATTCAATGGCATGGCACCCTACAAAGTGGCTTTTTTTAATGAGAAAGGATATCATTAAATAAATTTGCCATTCCATTGTCCTTACAGTGATGATCTTTAATGAGTTACAATTAGAATTTAAGACCGATTAATCAATCACTTGACCCAGTCACAACAACTGTCCAGCTGTAGTATATAGCAAATAACCCACCGAAGGTACATGCTTCAGGAGGAAAATTTCATCTCCTCGGGGTGAGCTGTCAGGATCCTTTCAGCAGGCTTCACCTCCTCGGGCCTCAGAAAACCTCTGTCTTCTGTCCCCACAGTGGTCTTTATGAAGAGTCCCATATTTGGTCCCCAGGAGGTGAGCAGTGTGGAAGGTGACTCAGCAACCATCACATGCTACTATCCAGCCACTTCTGTCAACCGGCATACCCGGAAGTACTGGTGCCGCCAGGGAGCCAATGGCCGCTGTACAACCCTCCTCTCTTCGGAGGGCTACATCTCCAAGGATTATGAGGGCAGAGCCAACCTCACCAACTTCCCCGAGAACAACACATTTGTGGTGAATATTGGCCATCTCACCCGGAATGACTCTGGACGCTACAAGTGTGGTCTGGGCATTAGTAGCCGAGGCCTGAACTTTGATGTGAGCCTGGAGGTCAGCCGGGGTAAGAACCTAGGCTCCTTGAGCTCCTTTGGGAAAGTGACAGGGGCTCATCTCAGGAGCAATGGGAGGGCTTCAGGAAGAACTTCCTGAGAGGGAAGAACTTCCCTGGCATGGGATGAGAAGGCTGTGAGGCCTCCTTCCAGAGGCAAGGGCTTTTCATAACAGAACATAGAAATGAGACATATGGGACCTACTTGGGGGTAGTGGGTAGACTTTCTAGGTGTTCAGGGCCTATACCATTTTAGGGTTCTACTAAGGCTGTAGCTTAGAAGAGCATCAGAAGGACTAGTTCTCTCACTGTGTTTGTGGCAGGTGGAGCAAGAGGGCTTTGAACTGAGGGGGACAGAAAAACCAGGGAGAGATTTATAGAGATCCTTAAATTCCTGCCATTAGTGCACCCTTCAGATCAAGATCTTAGGGCACCGGAAGACTTCTTTCAAAATGCATTTTTTACCTGGTATCCATTAGTCTATCAACACCCTCAGCATAAATTAAATGATCAGTTCTTGCCCAAAGACCAGGGCCCTGAAGGAGTGGGCCACTGAACAAGCCTGTTCTACTTGAGAAAAAGAAAAATAAGAAAGATTTTTCTGACAAGATTGAAGGACAAAGGCGTATTAGATAATCAAGAAGAAATTAAGAGAGAAAGAGGTTTTAAGGGATGAAAACTGGAGGGGTCCTTAGAGATATGTTTTGCTCCTTTGGGACGTGCCTAGTATTATCTGTGGACTAAATGAAGAGTTCATTCAGGTGGTCATATACAGTCATAAAATGGGAGAATTTTAAGAGCTGAGGACAGCTTGGAATTGACTCTATACAGGATGTCCAGACACTAGAGACCACAGGTATATACTTTAAATGGCAACAATTCATTCCTTTACAAAGCAGCCCATTCCATGTTGGGACTGTTGTAAATTTTAGAAACTCCATCTAAACACACTGAAATCCAACACCCTATACTTATATTTATCTTGTTTATTTCAGCACACATTAATTTGGGCACCTATGCATAGGCATTGTGCTAGGGACTGCATGGGAGTCAAACATGTAAAGGATGTCTTTGCTCTCAAGGGACTTCCACGCTGAGGGGAACATAATTAACTATATGCAAGATCAGATGTAAAAGAGATACAGCTGTAAGTGTCAAGAGATCACAAAGGAGGAAGAGATTAGTGCCAGCTTAGGGAGGGCTTCATGGAGGAGACAGCAATGAGGCTGAGTCTTGGAAGACATATTTTGACAGTGTCCCTCTGGGGAGGAGAGCTCCGAAGGTGAGAGGCACACCCAGGCCCTCACTGGGAGTACTGAGCAGCCCTGTGTTTCAAGAAAGTGAAATCACAAATTGCCACCTGCTCCCTGTCCTGTAGGTCCTGGGGTCGAAAATGACGTTGAAGTCTACGTAGCTGAATTGGGCAAATCAGTGATCATCACCTGCTCTTTCAAGCTTGAGAATTCTAAGAAAAGGAAGTCTGTGTGCAAGAAGGCAGGCCAGAACTGTGTCCTAGTTATTGACTCCAATGGGTATGTGAACCCCAACTATGAAAACAGAGGAGATATCGTTATTCAGGGTACTAGTCAATTAGCGTTCAATTTCAATATCAAACCAGTCCACCTCAGCGACGCTGGGATATACACCTGCCAGGCTGGGGATGATTCCAGTGGTGATAAGCACATTTTTGACCTCCAAGTGCTAAAGCCTGAGCCTGAACTGCTTTATGGAGATCTGAGGGGCTCCGTGACCTTTGACTGTTCCCTGGGCTCTGACGTGGAAAACGTGGCCAAATTTCTGTGCCGGATGAGCAATGGGAAAAACTGCGACGTGGTCATCAACACCCTGGGGAAGAAGGCTAAGGCTTTTGAAGGCAGGATCTTGCTCACTCCCGGGGACAAAGGCCTCTTCAAGGTGCATATCACCAGCCTGAGGAAAGAGGATGCAGGGCACTACCTGTGTGGAGCTCAGTCTGATGGCCAACCTCATGAAGACGGGCCCTTCCAGGCTTGGCAACTCTTTGTCAATGAAGGTGAGACCTGAGACTGGGAGGGGAAGAGGTGCATCAGCCCAGCAGGAGGGCTGGCTCCCACCCTGTGAGTCTATCCAGTATCCATCAGTCAGTCAACAATGCCTGCTCCCTGACAAACCCTGAACTGCATGCTCCATGGGCAGCTGGACAGGAGAGCTAGAAAACACAGCCTCTGCCTTGTGTTACCTACTACCTATTACTTGTGTAATAACTAATTAGGTTATTAAAGGCCTTTCGATGGCTGTCCCTGATTAACAGAGAGGAGAGTGAGGCACTTGACTGAGGCAAAACCTGTAGATCATTTGGGTCTCAGAGAGCCATGATGAGGACTTAGCATGGAGTTCTGGGCTTGCAGGGGCCACCTGTCCCTTCTTTTTGTCTTTTGAGCAGAATGGGACCTCATCCCTCACACTCAAATGGGAGAAAGTTTGGCTCATCTTGGTCTCAGAGCTCTCCCAGTAAGGCAGTACCCCAGCCTCTAAATTTCCCCCTCAACACCTCATAGGGTCATTTTTTATTCTGTATCATCTGGCCTACGCAGCTCTACTTTGGCAAGCCAGCAAGGAAGTGAAAGAACTAAATCCCTGCTCCCTCTCAGCTGGGAGCATCCTGTATAGAGTTACCCTCGTGAGAAACAGCAAACCAGTACTTGCAGTTCAATGTCCCTGGTCTTGTGACTTTTCCTTAAGGGGCTCACATTCCCTGCACATCATTTTTATACCCGGCTCAGTCCTCATCACATTCCTCAGCATCTTCATAGCTCAGCATCCCCATTGAACCTCAGCTTTAGCTTATTGGAGAATGGCCATCCTTTACTAAGATGACCCCCAGGGTCATCACCAGTTAAACCTTCTGTGTTACCTAGTTTATATTTTAAGTCATACCATTCTAAATATGTTTTCTGAATTTGGAGAAAAACCATCTCCATTTTTATGGTACGAGCTAATAAACAGACAAATAGTTACATGTGGACAGATTTTGTAAGAAGCCTAAGGAATTCAAGGACTGATAGTGTCTCCTTAAACTCCTTCTATTCTCTGCCCAGAGTAAGGTGGGAAAAGAAAATGAGATGCCCAGGCTACTGGTGAAGGTCACTGGAGACTGGTTGGATGGCTCCAGCTATAGGCTCTGTGACATTAGGAAAGTCTTTCTCATTTTCTAAGGAGAGTGAGGTAAATAGTCTAAATCTCACTCCCCACTCTGGCTGAGACCATGGGGAAGAGACTGCCCAGACCATGTTGCTTATGTTCTGAAATTCCATCTCCATCTGTACTTTCAGAGACCACGATGCCCCATACTCCCTCTGTGGTGAAAGGTGTGGTCGGCGGCTCTGTGGCAGTGCTCTGCCCCTACAACCCTAAGGAAGTAGACAGCCTAAAGTACTGGTGTCGGTGGAAGAATACTCCAAACGGCAGCTGCCAGCAGCTGGTAGAGAGTGAGGGGCTGGTTAATGAACAGTATGAAGGCAGGCTCGCACTATACGAAGAGCCAGGCAATGGCACTTACACGGTCATACTCAACCAGCTCACCACCAAGGACGCTGGTTTCTACTGGTGTCTGACCAGTAAGGATGTTCGCTGGAGGTCCACGGTGGAGCTCAAGGTTGTTGAAGGTAAGAGCTGAACTGGGGCAAAAAGGAGGAGGGGCAGCCCCAGGATCATCCAGCCTGCAGCAACATCACCCCGAAGCACTCTTCGTCCTAACTCATCCCATGCTGATGGGACAGACCTTGGGAGAGAGCCCATCTGCAGAGAGGTCATGTTTTCATAATTGTTATAAGCGCCCTTTTCTGTGCACACGCCACACTCTCCAAACCACCACACAGAGCACCTTTTATTATCAAGAATGTTGGCCTCTTTCACGGTATATATGGCATCAGCTGAAGTAGAGTGCAGCTCTTTATATGGAGTCTAGAAGAGAAGAGAGGAACAAGGAAAGCAAACTGAAGTCGAGAGTCTGTATTTTGTGATAGACTCGATTAATGTATGGGGTCATCAATAATAATCATGACATAGGCACATCATTACATTCTTTATGTATTCAGTATCATGCATTTATTTATAATGCTACCCAGAGAGGACACGGGCTGTGGACAAAGATCCTCACCACAGTCACTTCCCTGCGGTATCGCCGATGCCAACTTGTGTGCCTATTTCTCCCTCCCTCTCTGCTCCAGGGAAACCAAGCCTCAAGGTACCTGAGAATGTCACTGCTTTCGTGGGAGAGAGTTTCAAGCTCCCCTGCCACTTCCCGTGCAAATACTACCCCCATGAGAAATACTGGTGCAAGTGGAGTAACAAAGGGTGCAAGACCCTGCCCACCCAAGACGATGGCCCCAGCCAGGCCTTCGTGAACTGTGACCAGAATAGCCAGATCATTTCCCTGACCCTGAACCCAGTTGCCAAAGAGGATGAAGGCTGGTACTGGTGTGGGGTGAAGGACGGCCACCGATATGGAGAGACCATGGCTGTCTAAGTGGCAGTCGAGAATAGAGTAAAGGGTAAGTCTCTGAGGGCAAGGCCTATGCCCCCCTCCCCCGGTAACACCGGAGAAAGGCTCCTGCCTACAGGCTTCTCCATCAGGGGTGGCCCCTAGGTTTGGTTATAAAAGACTGGAGGCAGGTGGAGATTTAGCCTCTACATAGTCCCATTTAACCCTCTAAAAAGAGCATCTGAAATAAATACACAACTAAAAATAAATAAATAAATATTAATAGGTTTGCCATATAACCTCAGCTTCAAGACAAGTCCTGTAGTTGTCGCTTCAGGCCGCTTTGAAGCTCTTTACATAAGAGAGATCTTCTATACAGAAATTCCAAAGTCACTACCACATGCAGTATCCTCTGCCAAAGCCTACTCTCAAAAGAGGGCCAGCTATCTTCACGTACAAGATCTGATCAAGAAAATTAAGGCAACCTCTTCTAGCAAGTTTGCATCCTAAGTCTCTTTTTAAAATGTCGCATAAAATGTTTTATCCCTAGGGTATGATTAGTCCTTCTAGAAATCCTACTGTGTCTGAGTGCAGCTAGTCTGGTTCACTGAGGGACCCATTGCCAAGCTGCCACCAGGGGGCAGCACTATTGCACACAGGCCTGCGGTCCCCAGACCTTGAGCAGGGTTTCAAAGCTGAGAAAACCTTCCTTCTCCAAACGATAGGTTAGCCCCGAAACAGAGCTGGATCTATGCCATGGAACCTTGTAGATGGAAATGGATTTGGTATGAACAGGACAGAGGTCATCTGACAAGCTAGAAAGGACCATCCCTTGTCTCCTAGTGTCATCTGGGACTCCACTCTAACAGCTTTGAGATTTTACCCTGCCCCTGTGATTGCTAATGAAGTCTCACTCCACGGATTCCCTAACTCTAGGGAGTGAAAACAGACAAAGAACAATAATTCAACCCCTCTCGTCCTCCTCCAGGGTCCCAAGATGTCAGCCAAGCGAATGCTGCTCCTGGTGAACAGGCAGTAGAGTCAAGTGTCAGGAAGGTTGGGAACAAAGTGATTCAGGATCCTGGGTTTTCTGTGGAGGACAGAGCAGCGAAGGATACTGGCGCCTCCGCTGGTGAGAGCGGAGCATCTGCAGACACGGGCAGGTGAGGAAGACTATCCCAGAGGACAAGGCCCTGAGGCTGGGCCATGGGGACCACAGAGGAGAGCCTGCCAACCTGCCGGGAGTGGAGCAGTCCCCACCACCTTGGCTTGTGCTCAGGAGGGGCCTCTGCCCTTCTCCTGTGGCTGGGGTGGCGTCCACCATCCCGTTTAATTTCCCAGGCCTGGGACACAGAGAAGACCCAGTCTTTGCTTTTGCCATGTCTGAGAAGTCTCCTTAGAAGAGTAGAGCTAGGGGACCACATCAAAAGGAGGGACTGAAAGAAGGAGCCAGTGAGACCCAACGTGCCAGCACATCCTGGGACCCCAGGTCTCCCTTCCAGTGACTAACTCAGTCCTTCTTTCAGCTCTGCGGGACAAGGCGGGAGCTCCAAAGTGCTTGTCTCCACCCTCGTGCCCCTGGGCCTGGTGCTGGCACTGGGGGCCGTGGTAGTGGGGGTGCTCAGAGCACGGCACAGGAAGAATGTCGGTGAGTGCCCGGGATGCCCCTGCCCCCCATCTCCAACCCTGTGCCCTTAGACCTCAGTTAGGGGTTTAGCTGCTCTGTGTGGGGGGCTGTTACAGTCCCTTCTCTTTCATAGGCTCCAAGAAAGGGTGCTGGGAAAGCAAGATGGGGAAAGATAAGGGGATGTGCATACCCAAAACGTACATTAAAGTGCTGCTGTCTCTGGAACGTCATCTCTGATGGCTCAGGGTCCAAGTTTAGAGGCAGGCTTATCAGGAGGAGGAGCTCAGGAAGAACTACACTTGTACCGTAGTTTGAGAACTAACTGGTTGTGTGACTTTGGGTGTCCCCATTTCATGTCTCAGTTTCCTCAGGGCTCAAAACAGGGATAGTAGTAACAGTCTCACAGGGCTGATGTGAGGACAGAATGAGACACTGTGCATGAAAGATCAGGGGTCATTGAATCTTGATTATCTGTGAAGAAGGGACAGAAAAGGAGACTCTGATCATTTCCGTTCTTCTTTGGGTCAGAGTCAGAGGTGGGCAACCTGCCACACTGCCCCTTCCAACTATCCTTTGGGGCTCCTTCCGAGGCAGCCTGTCCTCACATTTGTCCTCTGTCCCTACACCAACTTCTCTCTCTCCTGGACAGACCGGATTTCAGTTAGAAGCTACAGGACAGACATTAGCATGTCGGACTTTGAGAACTCCAGGGAGTTTGGTGCCAATGACAACATGGGAGCCTCTCAAGTCACTCAAGAAACATCTCTCGGAGGAAAAGATGGTACGTCCCTCACTCAAGGGAACGCCCAACCCCTGGGAGAGCAAGAATTAGACCCGACTCTGCCTCTGGGGTGGGAATATGAAGCTAGTGAAGGCTAATCCCCCCACCTTGCTCTTCACATAGAGTTCAGCGCCACCACTGGGAACACCGTGGAGACGGAAGAACCCAAGAAGCCAAAAAGGGTAAGAGTGAGGAGGGAGAAGGCGGCCCCACTTATGTGACAAGGAAGTGCAGTATGAGGGACTGTAGTCAGACCTCAGGAGAAACTACCTCAGGGCAGGGGCTCATGTCAGAAAAGGGAAGATAGTGTCAACTTTTCTTGAGGGCAAGATGTATCTTACTGGTTATGGTGTTAATGTGGCTGAGGTGCAGGAGCTGAGCTGCATTTATAGGCTGTGAACATGCAGGAGGGAGGGAGACTGGGGGTTCAGAAGGAAGTGCATGGAAGCTTCGGCCACAGAGTAAGAAAGGTCAAATGTCAAATGCCAGTGATTAGGTGAGTTGTCTTCCAGAGCTGTGGAACCTGTGGACTTCAGGCCACCCACCCCCCTTTAAGAGTTTGCTCAGGAACAGCCTTTTGTCTGGGTCTGAAAGACATTTGCTGGCAGTGGGCAATTTGATAGTCACTAGAAGCTCTTCCCCACTCCAACCACATGCCATATTACTTGAACTCCTACCGGAGGTGACTTCTGACTCTGGGTCACATATTACCCTCCTTCTACCCTCTGTTAACCCCAGGGTGTAAATGCTTGTTATCATATCTACTCTCCCTTGAAGCAACGGAGACCCTGAATCTGGAACAACTAGCGGACTAAGCTAGTCCTCCAGCTTCCCCTCCAGCCCTGTGTTGTGCAAAGCTCCATCTTTGAGCTGGTGGTTCCATGGCTGATAGCAGCCTGGACCACTTTGCCCACATACTGCGTGGGCAGAGCTTCCGGGGACAGGCCCAGGCAACAGGGGTGGTTCCACTCCATGTGTCGGAAGGCGGTAGTGAGACAGAGGGACATATTTTTAGAAACTGCAACTTTCCGTTTCTCAAAATTCATCCTTGGTGAGCATGGGGAGCTATGCTCACCAAGGATGAGTGGTCAGACACTCCTAAGAGCAGCAGGTCAAAACAGTCTGGGGTTGCTTAAGCCAAGACTATGAACTCAAGACATTTAGTGCCCACCCTCCCCCCGACCCCCACCCACTGAGCCAACACCCCAAACACTGACTCCTGTCCTGTTGTCCCCTCAGTCCTCCAAGGAGGAAGCTGACATGGCCTACACTGCCTTCCTGCTCCAGACCAACAACATGGCTGCTGACGTCCAGGGGGGTCCCAGAGAAGCCTAGGCATCAGCTGCACTCTCCCACCACCCATGACAATCACCTTCAGAATCATGTTGATCCTCGGGGCCCTCAGCTCCAGGGGGCTTCACTGCGTGCATTCACACCCCACTTTTCTACCTGTGCTCAGAGGGTGTGCTGGTCCCTTCTCAGTGAATCCAAGCTTGGCCTAACTGATCCTGGTTGGGTTGATGCCATGAGGGGTTCCCTCTGCAGCTTATTTTCACAAAAGAACCCAAGAGTGGAAGGATAATTAAGATCTTGAAGGCACCACTCAGAAAGAAGAGAGATCACATGAGTGGGGAGCTAATTTCAGAAAGAAGGCTTTTCTGCACCCTTCTAATGGGATTCTCAAAGGGATTCTCCTCTCTGCTCCACCCCTCCTTCTCTCCATCTCCCCCTCTCTTTCATCTTTTCTTCTTTCCTTCATTGAAAATACATATTTGGATATTCACTAGAACCAAGGTAGTCTTCTAGACACTGGGACAGAAAGGCCGCAAACCCAGCCAGCAGCCTTGTTATAAACATCACGGAGTCCTTGGAAACTGTGGCTCCTCTTGGTACAGTTATACTCACCAAGACCTGAAATCCTCATCAGGTATACTCACCTCTGCCCATAGTGGGAGAGAAATCATAAGCTGTCTGGAGTCCTGGGGCCTTAGGGGTCATGTAGTATGGGTGTATATACAAGGAATCATAAACACACATGCTAACCTTTCTCACATGAGAGGTGAAGAGGTTTGCTCAGGGGAACCATGTAGCATAAACTAATGTCAAAACCAGGTTTGGTACCTCTACCTGTCCTCTTGGCCGGGAATCTCTCTACAAGGACCCTTGCACTCCTGATGGAGGCAGAGTTCTAGAATAAGGAGGAGGAGGAGGAAGAGAAAAACGTAATGGAGACTAGTCTTTCACAAGCCCCACCTCAGGGAAGAAGACTCTTTCCTTTTCTGTCACTCAAATGGACCCAACGGGATAAAAGAGTGGTCAGACACTCCTAAAGCTACTTATGCGAAGAGTTCTGAACCAAAGGGAAGGAAAAAGGATGTTTGATGATGCTGGGAAGGGGCTGATCGCCAAACAAATAAGGTTTAAGGTCTTTTTCCCTCTGAGCTCTGTACTTCAGCCAGCACCTACTAGCTGACACTTGCTTACAAATCAAAAATGTGATTCAATAAATAATTAAAGACCATGATTGCCACCAAGGAGGCTCAGATTGCATTTGTCCCCAAAACTTCTTTTTCCAAGACAGCCCTTTCCGGGTGTTTTATTTTGGTAACCACTTTCAGGCACCCCAGACTGTGTGCCTAAACCAAAGCTCCCTGCTCCTCCAACGCTGGACCCAGCGGGGGAGGGGGGGAGGGAGAGGAGAGGGAGGAAGGGTAGGAGACTGCTTATAAGTGGGACCAAGATGATCAATAAGAGAATAGCTTGGGGTCTACACCAATGTCCGAGAACCTGAAGCTCTGTGTTACAGAACATAATTAAGACTATTTATAATGGAATAAACTGAAAGCAAGTATAACTGTGCTCCTCTTAGGTGTTAAGAAAAAGTCTTGGTTAAGTATCCATGGACTATGTGACCTTGAATCTTATATCTCCCTGAGGTATCCTTCCAGATAGGCTATTAATCAAAATTCAGTAACCAAATGAGTAAACTCCTTCCATAGAAATATCAGCTAGAAGCTAGTTAAATGATAACTTAGCTTTCAGGATATTTGACCCAAAGTCTCTTGGGAGACAGTGATTAAATAAAGGACCCCCTTGTCTGCCAGGGCCATTTCTAGGTTCTGGCACTAAACCTAATCACCCCCCCCCCCCCCCCCGCTCCCCGCCCCACCAGACTCCTCCTCAGGGCCTCTGTGTATGAGAGTTCTCTCTGGGGGAAAGTGCTTCCCAGGCTTCTATCCTGCCTGATGTGGGGAAGAGAATTTGCTCCCATCTGGACCTTGAACATACTGCTTCTGATGCTTCATGCTTCCAAGCTTGCCCTTGACCAGATGCAGATTTCAGTCCTCCTTAGTCTCCTCTCCTGCTCTACCAACCACAATATCCAGGCCTGATTCGCAGACCCTGACCTGTATCAGAGTCTTGGGCTCCACTCTGGCCCAGAGAGGTGGTCATCAGGAATATTTATTTCTCTCTGTTCTCTGTAATGGGGATGCATATTTAGCTTCTTCTGGAATGACAGCAAATCATTCCAGGAGAACCAAAACTACAAGGTGCGGCAGAACCTATGTTTTCCCCCTGGAAGCTGCTCTCTGACCCACCAAAGCATCTTTCCTGGGGCAGAAGGGTTAAGATGCAGCTTCTATATTATTACCAATAACCTGCAAGCCAATCCAGAGCTCAGGCAGCCTACCCCAGTCCCTAGAATCAAAGACCAAGAAATGCCACTAAAGCCATAGACAATCTTGTATTACTCTTAACTGATGTTATATACAGGTGATAGCAAGTATAAAAATGTACTGCCCAAAGTCCACATGAAATCCTTCCATGAATAAAAAAGCTGGTCTGTAGGTATAGTGGGGTATCTAATAAGTTAACAAGTCAACAATTTGGGGGAGTGTTTTAATTTCCTAGGCTGCTATAACAAACTACCATAAAACTGGGTGACTTAAAATAACAATAATTTAGTCTTTCACTGTTCTGGAAGCTTGAAGTGCGAAATCAAGATGTCCGCAGGGTTGGTTCCTTCAGGAGGCTGTGAGGGGGAGTCTGTTCATGCCTCTCTCCTCACGTCTGGGGGCCGCAAGCCTGGGTGTCCCCTGGCTCACAGCTGCATCTGTCCTGTCTCTGCCCGGTCCTCACATGGCCTTCTCTCGGTGTGTCTCTATGTGTGTTCACACGGCCTTTGTACAAGGACGCTTGTCATTGGATTTAGCTCCCCCCCCCCCATCCTGTTTGGCCTCATCTTAATAAATTACATCTGCAAAGTTCCCATTTCTCAATGAGGTCATATTCTAAGGTTTCAGATAGACATAAATTTCAGAGGGACACTGTTCAGCCCAGGACTGGGAAGTAACAATCAACTGTGGGGCTAAGGGTAAACCAAATAGCAATAATCAGTGCCGAGCAATCACGCAGAGGACTATTTAAATGTTTCTGATGATAAAAAAAAAAATCTTCCTCAAGTTCTTGAATTATCTTGATTTTTTCCTTTAAAAAACATAATGATTACACATTACTAAGGCCCAATAGTGGCTGAGAATCTGCTTACAGGAGTTGATTTTGGTTTATAAAGCTACACACACACACACACACACACACACAGGCACACACACACATACATATACATATACATGTACATATATATCTTTTGTCCAAGACTTTCCCAAGTGTTCAGAACAGAACACTTCTCCCAAAAGCAGAAAATGAATCTAGTCCTCAAAGCAGAGAAACAGGTACAGTCCCCTCCTCACCAACCCAACAAGCTTCTCTGAAATAATGAACTCTACTAGGGAGCCTATATAATAAAAATAGTAAGAGACCATCTCGGAAAGACCACATATCTAAGGGGGCACACCAAGAGAGAAGATGTAAAACTGAGGCCAATGGCCCCCAGCTAGCTAGGATGCCAAAACAGGAAGGGAAGGCAGATGGTCAAGCTATTAGATTCCAGGAGTTCTCTCCTAAGGCTGATAAAGAAATGGGCAGCCAATCTACCTCCACTGGAGTAAAAAGTCTTTGATTAAATGTGTTGAGGTGAATATTCTAAACTCCAGATTTTTGCTGACAGATCACATTAAAATTCATCTAGAATTCTACATATTTGGGCTCTAACTTTAGAATACCAACAGAAGTATGGCCATATTTAGGTAAAAAGTCTTACCATTTCTTATAGCAGGAGGCCATTAGTAGGCTCGCAGTACAGGTTAACCTTCCCAAAGCCCTATTCCTGTGGAGTGACTCACTCTTGGTCAGGCAAGCCTCTAGTCCAAGTTCTTGGAAAGTGGGAACCACAGGGTACCTGAGCCAGGTACCTCTACCTGAGTGGGCTCCCTGGTGAGTCTAACAGGTGAGGGTATTCTCACGGTCTGTCTTTGGGGAGAGCAGTGTTGGGTCATGGGGAGGGCCACCTTGGATCTCAACCCTCAGTCTGGAAAGGCCCAGGAGATGGTTGTTTGGGAGTCTGGCTACATCGGAGGGCTACATGATGTTATAACCAGGCACAATCCATAATGACAACTTCCACCTTAATGGTGAGGGCTAATCTCCACTGCACTCACACTATATTCCACGCATCGTATCAAGCCCTTTGTAATGCTTACCTCAGGCAGTCCTCACAACAACCTTATAAGAAATATTTTTCTTCCTTTTAATTTTTTTTAAAGTTTATTTATTTTTGAGAGGAAGAAAGAAGATGAGCAAGGGAGGGTCAGAGAGAGAGGGAGACACAGGCTCCAGGCTCCAAGCTGTCAGCACAGAGCCTGATGTGGGGCTTAACTCAAAAACCGTGAGATCATGACCTGAGCTGAAGTCAGATGCTTAACCAACTGAGCCACCCACGTGCCCCTGAGAAATATTTTTCTTTTCCCATCTGTAACATAGGGAGGATAATAAAAACCTAAGTTATTATGGGGACTAAATGAATTTACCTGAAGGACTTAGAACAGTTCCCAGTGTACCTGGTATTATTTATTCTATCCACTTTCCTGTCATTAGACTCTGAAGTTTTTCCCATTACATTCATCCCTTCTGGTCAAGCATTGGCACCAGGGGAGGTTAACCCATTGAGTCCCCTGCCTGTCAGTGGGCTTCAGCTTTTCATACCTTTTCCCAAGAGTAGGAATGCCAGGGCAACACAGCTGCCCTGTGAGTCAGAAAGGAGAAATAAAATTTAGTTGGCGAAAAAAGAGGGAGAAGAGAATGAAGACAGTAAACTCCTCCATTTAGTGATGGTTCAGCCTTCCCTTGGGGACCCAGCCTACCCTGAGACCTTGGGGGTAGAGACTGGATTGTCCAGGTCTGGGAATTTCCAAACATTCACTTCCTACCCAGGAGTCCTGAGGCCCCCAATTCCTGCTCATAACAACACCAGTGGACATTACTAATGGTTTTGTCCGGGCCACACACGATGTGAAAATATCTCATTCTGCACATGCCCAGTGCTGCCTGGCTGGCCCCAGCCACAGCACATCCAGCCCACATCTCCACAGACACACGTGTTCATGCGCACAGCATGTTCACACTCACAAGCCACACAAACAACACACACACTTACAAGCATACATCACACATTCACACATCACATGACATCACACATGTTCACACACTCAGCCACACATCACAGACCTCCCATGCCACGCACATCATTACTTCACACACCACACACGGACACACTAACATATCACACATAACACATTCCCACACCATTCCCCACATTGTCCCACGGGGCGTGTACTTCACACACACATATCACAGTCATATATCACTCATCACTCACACACCACACACACTCATTTACACACTCACAACCACACAACACACACTCCTACACATCTTACACACACACTCTTACACCTACAGACACACACATGCCCCACAGCCACTCATTTATTCTCTCTCTATCCAAGGTAGTCCCAGGTCTTGAGCCCAGCAGATGGCAGAGCCCAGCTGTGAGGAACTGGGAAGAGCCCTCCAAGTAGGGAGGGGTGGACTCTGACCAGAACCGAGGCCTCTGACAGTCACTTGCTCTGACCAGAGGCCTGAGGCTGCCCCCTGACACCTTGGCCCAGTTGGTGGTTGGAGGAAATCATAACTGCAGTGGCCCTATGCTGGTGGAAACCCAGATAGGGGTGTGCAGGACAGGCGGCCCGCCCCCACACATTTCCTCTGCACCTGCTCTGAGCCTCGCATTTGACTTCTACTGCGGATGTTGTCTTTTTGTGTTTTGGAGAGCATGTGACAAATCTGGTAAGAAAGGCGTAGAAATGGCCTTAGTCCTCTGTGCACACAAGAGGCTGCAGCACCTAGAGAGGGGGATGTTGGCAAGTTGCCTAAAATGTGGTCATCAGGAATGAAGTTCTGGGGATCTTCTGATTAAGTAACTTCTCCATGCACCTCCACATTAAAAGTCCTTCAAGCCCTTCCATGACCATGGTTTCTACTGGGACTTATGAAAGCCCTGTGATGTAGGCCGGGCAGGGACCATCCCTATTTATTAATGAGGAAACTGAGGCCCAAAGCTAAGAAGCATCAAACC